TCTCCGCATGAACCCCGCACGTCCCCGTTACCATCCCAGCCCAGACCGCCTACGGCGTTCCCGCGTACGCCCGTGCACCCGTCCATCTTGCGCCCGCGTTCTCCCCGCCAAGCCCGCGTGCGCGGCCTGTTCGCCCACTCGTGCGCAACAAGTGCCGATGCGCACCTTTTGCCTTTTCGCTCCTTACTAGACTTGCCGGACTCCAAAGCCACTCCCGTATCATTCCCCTCCTCTTCAAGACTTTCCTTGTCCCCAAGGATTAGAAAATTCAGCTTCCCATCTCGACCATCCTGTCTTCTTCATCCGGTGACTCGCCTGGATCCTCAGTCCTCAACTTAATCCTCTTGCTTGATCTCCCGGACTCCATAGTTCCTTTCCAATAATCGGTTGTGATTGGACCAAGAGTCTCCAACCACTGGCATCCAAGCACTATATCAGTTGCCTTCAATGGCAATGCATAGAGGTCCACTCTCATCCTTTGGCCTTGAGCCTTCAACTTTACACCTTTGAGTAGAATATCTCCTCGTAGTGTTTCCCCGTTTGCAACCTTAACTCCAAAAGGTTTCACTTTGGTGAATGTAATCTCAATTTCCTTGGACAACTCCTCATCAATAAAGTTTAGCGTAGATCCGCTGTCGACCAAAACCTCCACCAATTTTCCTCCTACTTCAGCCGTGAATGTGATCATCTTCGGACCACGCTTCTTACTCTTAACCATGTGTAATAAGGACTCCTCTCTTGGTTCTTCTTCTTCCTCAAATTCCAACAAAAAGACCTCCTTACCCTTGCACCTGTGGCCTGGCGTAAATTTTTCGTTGCACGAATAGCAAAGGCCTTTCTCTCACCGTCGTTGCATCTCTTCGTCGGTAAGTCGTCGTATGTTGCTCGTTGTTCGAACAATCTCGCCCCTTGGCTTGCTTTCGGTTTGCGTCGGCTGTTCCTCGGTCGTGACGTGTGTGCGCTTAGTTTCCGTGCGCACGTCGCTCAGTTTCGCCTTGCGTACTGCCACGAGATGATCTTCGTGCAGTCTGGCCGACTCTATA